GTTTAGAATATTATTTACGATCCATACTAGTCATAATACAAGATAAAAAATCCTTGTAATATGAACCTTACAATATTGCTGGTTCTGTTCTTCATAAGGATCTTAATTTTCTGATTGCAGATATTGACAGTTTTCATATTATCCTGAGATACAGAGCATTAATAGCTAGGATCCCAGCCCTGCAAATATTTACGCATCATGCATATGGTTACATGTGTGTTTAAGTCTTTGCAAGTTCAGGGCCTAGTGTAAATAACTAGACATGGCAGATATTGGAAGTATCTAATCATGGCACTTTTCCATTTTTTTTCAAGGTGTGAGAGTCCTCGTAGATGCTCGAGAGAAACTTCATATTCCCTGGGGAGATCCTGACAACCAGAATAATGGGGATAAGATGATGGCTTTTGATACTCGGTCAACAATGGTGGCACAAGGGATGGTGGAGACTCAGGTTTTTTTACAGTACCTTCCAGCAATAAAATCACTGTGGGCAGATAATGGAATCCAGCATGCCTATGACAGACGCAGAGAATTCCAACTGGTAAGCTGTGGCTTTCTTAATACTGTCAATAAAATCTGTATGATGCATTGTTCCTGTATCATTTTTCAGTAAACACTAATTTAAATCTGCCTCCTTCAGGCTGTTATCGTTGATGTATAATGTATATCATGAGGCCTACCTAAAATACTAGCCCATGGAATTGCAGGTTAGTTATAGCTTTTACTTTTAACCAAGAAAGACAGATCGAGCTGAAACAAAACATAAGGAAGTATTAGTCCCCACTTTGCAGATGACAGAGGCGAAGTTCAGTAAGGTTGACTTGCCGTCATGCTCTGAGTCTGTAGCCAACCTAGTAATTGAATCTAGATGGTTTCTCATTCCAGTGCCTTAACGGCAAGACCATTCTTCCTCTTTGGTGCATTGAAACTTTTTAAAAACGATGTGCAGGAGAGAATTAATACCTAGTATTTTATGTGATTATTCTTCCTTTTTTAAAAAAAAAAAGGTGGTGTTATACACTTGATTTTTATTAGAAAAAGGGTTTTTAAACCACTCTTCTCTATTCCAATCTGAGAAATCTTGCAAGCATTCCCTCTGTACATTTCCTGATTCATTTCATGAGTGTTATTTTCACGTGATCAGCTATTTTGTTTTGAAGTTCAGTTGGAGATATGGACTTCTAGTTGAATAGCTTGATTCTAGGATGGGTAGGTGTTTGTGTGGGATGGCAAAAGAAACACAGGGTGATTAACCCGTTGGAAGTTGCATTTTTAATGTAAGTGATATGGAAGAGAGACAAAAAATTGTCATTGTCTTTAAACGAGAAAAAGCCCGGTTCTGACTGAAAATCAAACTCTAGCATAGAATAACATTAAGGTGATTTTCCTAAATAGTGGAAGTTCTGATATAACTTACAAATAAAAATTGTGCATTTGTAACCTTGATCCCTTCTAAAAATACTACTTTAGTATGCAGGTGAATTTGCCTAGTGTTGCATGCTTAGTAACAATGGGCTTCCATGTCTTCACTAAGGAATGACTGTAGTTGAGATTTACATGGGATACACAATGCAATCTCTGATTAGTTTTATTTGACTTCAGGGGATTTGGATTTTCAGATTCACTACACATTATGTAAGTAGTTGACCATGCATACTCACTAGACACCAAGTTTAAGGACTAGCCAATTTTTTACTCTCTCAGCCAAATTTTACATTTCCTCTCCCTCTTCGATTAAAAAATAAATAAAAATCAAAATTTAATCTCGGACATCTGTAAAATTTGACTTTTAAAAGTTCCCTCTTAACACTAAAATGAGATAGCCAGGTGGAACTTTTATCAGAACCATAAATGTGTAGTTCTAGAAGGGAAATTTGGAATGTATAATACTTTAAATTGCAAGCACGATTTGATTTTGGCTCATCTCTAGTGGAATAAATTTAGAGGAAAGAAGATATGTTAACCCATCAATTTCATTCTTTTACACCAAGTTTCTCTTGTTACTATTGTGCTTTTTAAGTATTTGCTTTTTGTATTATATTGATTGGTATATAAAAAGTTAAACCACTTCAGTCTTGGATACAGGAACTCTGTATTTAACTCTTTGTTTAGTATATCTCAGGTGACAAAGTTCTGCTATCTACATTGATATTGTGAAACAAAATGAAAATTGAAAGTTAAAGCTGATGCTGTTGGACTAGCCTGTGTCAGTGAACTGTTGCAGTACATAGGGATGTCAGAGCTTGCAGTCTTTGGCCACTACTGTAGGTAGATTAAGGCTAACATTTTCTTAACTTGATTTTTCACTTGCAGTCTCGTTACAATTTAAAATACACAAACCTAGATTGTTAATTTCATAGTCTTACCTCAAATATGGGAGTTATTTTTATGAACAATAGACCATGATGTCTCCTAAGCTTTTATGGGGTATTGTATACACTGATTTAACATAAGCTGTGTAAATACTCTGTTATAAATATGTATTGGCCTGAGGCTAGACTGGCTTCTAGAGAACATAAATTGGGAGAGCATTCAGGCAGTAGGAATATTGTGGACCAGCTTAGTAGCGATGCTATATGAGACTAATTCCTGGCAAACGTGCTGCCTGTGTTATCAAGACGTTGGACTGTTGCTGAGGCAAGTGTGATTGGCTGTAAAGGGAGTCTGGTCCAACACAGGAAGTTGAAGTGAAACATGGCTTTACCTTCAGAAAGAATTATAAAGGAGTAAAAGTTTTACCAGTGCTCGGGATTCTCTTCTGGTGTGGAGATGATATTCCTGATAAAGTATTTACTATGGATGACACAGCCATCTTTATTAATAAAAAAAAAAATTAATGAATATGCTCAGTCCTTTAGAGCAAATAGTTCATCTTGAAAACCTTTTGTGGAAAATCTTTTCATTAGTCACACTTGGTGTTTTTAATCAGTCTTTAAGCTGAAAAACTCCTCTCCCTTGCTATCTTCATGTCTTCCTTAGTCCATCAAGTATGCTTTGACGACAGTTGTGACATCTGCACAGTTTTGTTTTGAGTAGGAGCTAGAGTAGGTGCACTCTTCTGAAAGTCACCAGAAAGACTGATTAAACTGTCCCCAAATTAGATTCTGTATGAATGTACATCTGTTAGAGGCTACATTTCTGGCCTAACCATCTGTATTTTTAAAAGTAAGTTATAGCAACTGCCTTGACTGAATTAAGACTTCAAACTTTTGTTTATACTTGTATTGCTTATTGCCAAAGTTACTTAAAAAAATCTCATTCCAAGGTGTGTATGCCAAGTTGTAAATGTGAACCTAGCTAAATATCACCATATTGAGTGCAATGTGTGTGCAATCATATAAGGAGACATGGTTCTTGCCCCAGGATCAAGATCAGCTCTGTCATGTACCAATGGATGATATGCCGGTTTGGTAAAGTACAGATTTTTGATGTGTCATTGCTGAAAGGCTTTGTAGAGGTCTTTTTAGTGGGTTTGATTGAAGAGGAAGGTTGTTCAAGCATGTGGCATGGTGTGGGAGGAACATATGGAAGGGTTGCATAGGAGGGAGTCTCAGGAGTAACTAAGGCAGTGGGAGGGAGAATGTGAAGACATGAGTAGAGAGGTAGACAGATGAGTTGTGCAAGGCCTTGGAAGTAAGGACTAGAAACTTGATGGGAGCGCGGGATGAGATGCATACAAGAAAAGTTTGCACTTGCCCAGGCCTTGTTCACCTCACAATTTGACAAAGGCTGTTGTGGGGGGGATGATATGACGCCGCTGGAAGAGTTGGATTTTTGGAGATATAGAAGTAATGACAGGATTTGGTGAAAGTGGAGGAGAAAGGAGTGGAATATGACATTTTGAGGTACTGTCGTGAAAGTTTAAAGGTCACGAACCAAGTTTTCAAGAGAAGATGGGGTTCAGTTTTCATTGCCCTGAATTTGAGGTTGTATAGGAACAACAGTTAGGTGGAGATGTTGCAGGTGTAGTTAGGAGACTGGACAGAAGGAAAAAGGTTAATGAATAAGAATGGAGTCATCCGTGTGGACATGGTAAGCTGGAACTATGGGAATGGATGAAATTTGTGTGCATGAAGGCAGAGGAAAACCAGCTGAGAGCAGAGCAGTGAAGGAAATGAAGTGAGTGAAAGCAGTGAAGATTGCCCAAAGAAAAGGGTGGAGGGGAGAGATCAACTGATTTAAGTGACAGAATGTGGAGAGTGAATACTGAGGAGAAAGGCAGGTTGAGAATGTCATCAGAGGTACACCTCAAACTTGTTTGCAACAGTAGAAGAGCTCTTATGAGAGAGCATTGAGGTTGTCCTTATAACAAATTAATGAAACCTGGGGGAAGGGTGGGGGAAGGAAGGTTTGGAGGAGAGAATTAGAGCTAGAGATGGGAGCATGGCATTGAAGAATCAACTTAACCTTATAGCAGTGCTGGTGGGATGCTAAAACTCAGTTGCAGCTTCTAAGGGTACGTCTACACTTACTGGAGGGTCCGGCGGCAGGCAATCGATGTTCTGGGATCGATTTATCGCGTCTGGTTAAGACGCGATAAATCGATCCCGGAAGTGCTCGCCGTCGACGCCGGTACTCCAGCTCGGCGAGAGGAGTACGCGGCATCGACGGGGGAGCCTTCCTGCCGCGTCTGGACCCGCGGTAAGTTCGGACTAAGGTACTTCGAATTCAGCTACGTTATTAACGTAGCTGAATTTGCGTACCTTAGTCCGAAGTGGGGGGGTAGTGTAGACCAGGCCTTAATAAGAGGCAGGGTTACTCTGTGGAACTGATGATTTCTAATCCCTGCTTTGCCACTAATTGTTGTGGTCTTGAGCAAACCATTAACTGGGGTTTCTCAAGCTGCAAAATGGGGATGTTACTTGCCTACATTAGAGGTGCTTATGAAGATCCATCAGTTAACTGTGCTTTGAAGATGGAAAGAGCTATGTAATACTTAGCATTTTTATAATGACTAATTAATCCTTCAAACAAAAAACTTCATTTAAAAACCAATTCAGGCTGTTCAAGTGATTAATCCACCAACACAGTTTATAAAGCCAGGAATTTCCTAGTTAACTTCTCAGCCATTCCTTGCCTTCATCACGTTCCCTTCCCACATCCACCGCACTCATGCCACCTCTTCCCTCTGCTCAGACCATGCAATGCTAACTGACCACAATCACTGGCTGTTGAGAAAACCCACAACATCCCACATTTCTATCACCTAATAAATATTACAAACTTCTAAGCCAATACATTCTATTCTAAACTGTTCCCTCTGTCTTCCGACATGACTCAGGTAAACATAACCATCTAAAATCTATGCCATATACACGAACAATCTCCTTCAATGCAATACCAAGTCAACATTCCAATCAGTTACAAAACCTCCCTTTGTAACCACTCCACGTGGAGGGAGTGAAATTTGCAGTGTTTTGTGTGGAGGTGGAGGGAGGAAGCATGTGTTTTTTGTGGGTGGTAGATGTGGAAGAGGTAATGTGGAGAAAGTGAAATTATAGTTATAGATTGCAAGTGGTGGCTGACAGTTTAACTAGGGAT